CCTCCTGCATCGCCTCCGGCAGTTTATGCGGACACTTTCTCCGGTTCCTCCCAGGTCCTCCGCCTCTCCGTCTTATCTCGAGAAGGACTTGGCAACGTGCTCTCACGTCTATCTCCGATGTGATCGAGTCCGCCGGCCTCTGGAACCGCCCTATGACGGTCCATTTCGGGTGCTCTCTCGCGGGCCGAAGACTTTCCGCATTCAGCGCGACAATCGTGAAGAGGTCGTGAGTGTGGACCGCCTCAAGGCTGCCGTCCCTGACACTCCTCCGGATGAGCCCTGTGGTCCTCAACCTTCTGCTTCCCCCCACGGAGCCTCTATTCCACCGTCCCGTATTTTCCCCCTGCCCTCCTGTCCGCCATCTCCGACTGCCACCACCAACTCCAACACATCCGCCACCAGATTTATTCACTCTTCTACGGACCCTGCATATATCACTCGTAGTGTTCGTCATGTACACTTTCCTGATCGGTTGGTCACGCATTTCTTTTAGACCTGTACACATCCTTCGGCGTCGTTTTCGCCGGCCTCCAGTCTCGGAGGGGGGTACTGTGCCGAGGTGCCAGACTATCTTGCCTTTCCCTACCTGTTCCTCATTCTTGAACTTACTGGTTGTTTAACTGAATGGAATGAACACAACTCGACGCGACGCGCTTGGCATGAGTGGGATTGTCAGGTCGTTTGACTTTTGATTATTAATTCTTCAATAACTCTGGTCTTATCCTGATTTTTATAGTCTGGGATTGACGGTTCTGTCTTTAACACTCGCTACAGACACTCGGGAGAGGCCCAGCGTTGCGACACTCCCTCGGAGCAAGGCCGCCACACATCGTCCTTAATTGGAATGGCAGCAATCACCGTGTCTTCCTCTGCGCCCTGACGATTGAAGCTTGGGTGGGAAAGGGCGTCACCCATGCCAATGTCGGTAGTGCAGCAGTAGCGGGTGTCGAATCACCACGAGGAAGGATAGTTGGCTATGGTTGAAGTGAAGTGACGAGCGTACAGGAGCTTGTTGGACTTCTGGACAGCAAAAAATATAGGCAGAATGGTATTACCGACAAAGACAAGGGAGACTGGAATGGCCATTTCTGGCTTATTAGCCGTCGTCAGCCAGCCATACCCAAGCCCGAAGTGTGTCATATGTCTCTTTAGCTATTGGACCATTGTTGTTATCCACAGGAGTTGGCGGGCAAGATGCATACATGGTCACCGTTTCAGACCCGTCGGGAAAGGTAAATGAGATGACAGCGCCAACTTCTGTGATTGGAAGCATCTGCAACAACGGTGATCGGCGATGTCTGATAATATTGCGTGAGCAGCTGATCCGAACTGAGCACTGCCTTAAGCTGGACGACAGGCCTTCCACAGTAAGAAGACAAAACGCAGGGAGCATCCTTCTGTAGCAGTCGATTAAACGGGATCTGACAGTCATGCAGCGACGCCGGGAAATTGCGGTGGTAGCTGGTCGGACGGAGGAACGAGAGGAGTTGTGATATATCATGGGGTGTAGGCAAATCGTTGTATAGCACAAACATCCTTCTATCTAGGTGGCGCCCTGTTGCGTCAAAGATGAATCCAGTGTATTTGACCAACTCGAGGATGAAATGATATTCGTCGACCTTCAGGCGGAAACTACATTTCCACAGGCGTTCGAGTACTACGCACAATGGCTCTTGGAGCTAAGCAGGCATGTAGCACACGCGATATCGTCCAGATATCTAGTCGTACACGAAGGGCCGGAGAGCATTTCTTTCACCGTTTGCTGGGACAGAGCTGGGCAGTCTCACCACCAAACAACAGTCTAGTGTATTGGAACAGATACAGTTAATGAGGATGCAGTAGGAGTTGGTTGATTCCGCAGGCACTAGTTCGCCAGCCTCTGTGCGGTGGATTCACAAGTGTCCCACCAGGCCTATATGTGATGCGAACGTGCGACGGCAATGACGACGGGTACGGACAGAGTCCACATCGCTGGAGGCGGGATGGTGATGGTGAATGTGTGGATGGTTGTCGGGACGTCAGGAGTGTTTTGGTCGTTGACTGTGGTGGCAGGGGTGGTTGTGCTGGATGTCGTTGTGGTAGCTGAGGCAAAGGTGGTGGAGGTGGTAGTGGCCGACGGCAGTGCGACACGGGGATTCGAAGCGGCATTGGTGAGGGTGGGTGTCGGTTTGGTCGACGTGGAAGTTGAAGCAGGTGCGGTCATGGCAACAAGCGCATTCGTCGGGTGGTTGATGCACTGGGTTTGAAGATGACTGACGGGGCAGATCCGCGCACGAAACGTTCGCTGACAGCGGAGGCGCGTTGAGTGGGATTGAGTGACGACATTGCAAGTGGAGGCACCTGAGAATTGCGAGTAGCCCTTTTGACTTTGGTTGCAGCGATCCGGTTTGCTTTGTAGATAGTTGCGTCAGTCTTCACTTCTCTTCGTCAGGCTGGTCCGTTATGGGAGAGGTTCTCCCAGGTCTTTGGATTTATGTGAGACCACTTAATAGAATTCTTCAATGTGTCGCTGTAGCGTCGGTTTGGTCCTCCCGGCCGACGAGCAAAGGTGACAACATCATCACAGAGGAGTTGTTTCGGTAGACGTGTATCTTCTATTCGCACAGGATGGCCACTCCAAGATAGTGACAGATACCTCAGCATGATATGAATGCTAACTATTCCGGTCCGTTCTAGAACTTCCGTGTCAGGGATCCTGTCTTGCTATCCCAACTTTAGTATTCTGCGAGAGTAGCTGAGATAAAAGTGGTTGGGCTTCCTTGCATTGCTGGAATAGACGGTCTATGTCTCTGCTCCGTATAGGAGTGTCGTCAGGACGACGGCCCCTTACATCTTTAATTTGATGTTGATTTGGATCTCGGAACAATCCCACACGGAGTTTTGCAACCGGCCGGAGGCTTGGCTGGCTGCGGAGATCGGATGGGCCACTTCATCATCGATTCTGATGCAGCGGGACATTGTGCTACATAGGCAGTTTAAGTTATCCACGGTCTCCAGTCTGACACCGTTGTCGCGGATGGGTGGGACACTGCATTCAGCGTTCAATGATTGTTGATGCATGAACAACGTCTTGTCTGTATTGATGGTCGGTCCGGAGTGGTCGTAGGCGGAGACAAAAAGTCCACGCTCCATTGCTGTCTTCTCTGGTCTTAATGTTGAGTACGCAGTCGTCAGGAAAGAGCAGATCGTTAATGGTATTTGCGGAGAGACGCGCCGGAGCCTTCATTCGCCAGCTATTGAGAAGGTGTTCGTAGGCCCTGTAGTCGATTCGGATCCCGGGGCGTTCATCACGGTGGGCGTCCATCAGCGTGACAAAGAACATAAAACTGAATACGGTGGGAGCTAGTACGCATCCCTGCGTCACTCCAGTGGTCACTGTAAATGCCTCGAAGATTGCCTCGCTGTCCGTGACGCGCGCCAATATCATGCTTAGAGCTGACGTTTCATGTACATGAGTCGCTCGGGGCAGCTCAACTTTCGCATGATTCTCCACAGTCCTTCGCGATTCATTGTGTCGATGGCTTTCGTCAGATTCATGAAGGCAGTGTTAAGGTGAGTTCGTGTGTCCTGGCACTTCTTTTATAGCTGGCGGGGAACGAAGATCACATTGACGGCACCCTGGTGACTTCGAAAGCCACATTAGCTTTCCGGCAGGAGCCATTGCTCAAGGTGTCTGTTAAGATGATTGAGGATGATGCGGCGAAGATCTTCCAGACAACGTCGAGCGGCGAGACGTCCCTGTGATTGTCACAGAGTTGTCGGTTCCCTTTGCGCTTGTAAAGATGGACGACGGTTGCGTGTTTGAGATCCTGAAGAACTTGTCCACGGCGCCGCACCTCCTGAAAGGGCGCCGTGGTTTGGTTCATCATTCGGTGGTCGCCATGCTTGTAGACTTCCCGCTGAATCATGTAGGAGCCTAAACATTCCCATTAGAGAGTTGTTGCATGGCGCGAATTGTTTCTGGGAGGAAGGGTAGAAAGCCTGAATTGATGTTGAGTTCCATTTGTAATAAATTGTTGAAAAAATTTAGGTCATTATTTGAAGAAATATTGTACCAATCAAGAGTGCATGTAAAGTTACTAACTAATTCCTCGTTAATATTAGCTAAGTCAAAAATGCTGCGTTGTGCTGTTGGCTTTCGGAAATGGCAACTGGAAGGCGACAATGAATTAATGCATGATCACTTGTGAAAAGGTCATGATGGAAATCCAAAGACAGAGGGAAGGTGTCATTAGTAAAAAAAAAGTCTCATACGTTATCGTTTCTGGTCGAAGAGTGGAATAATTGAGAAAAGTTTGCAAAGTGAACGATGTCTAGAAGCATCTGGAATTTATGAGAGGAAGTATGTTTGCACCAGACAATTTCTGGCAAATTAAAATCGCCTACGATAATCCTGACATCGACAGGAGTCTCTGTAATTTTTCAAAGAGTGAGACAACCTGGGCGAGACACTAATTTAATTTTCACGGTCTTATTCCCTTAAATGCTAAACGCAATTTGAAGCATTTTGTCCCCGGTACGAAGCTCCGGGGATTGACAACTTGGATGCGGAGCATCTGCTCTCCGTTCATGCACGTTTATGCACAACCGTTCAAAATCCTTAGACTCGAGATAAGTTGAAATTTATTTATAAATGAAATATTTGACATATTTCTGCGTCGATTTTGCGTCGATTTTTATTAGCTGTCGAAAATAACACATAAATCCATTACACTCTCTCCATTTAACCATGACTGATGTTACGTTTGCTGTCGACAAAGTAGATCTTTCGGCCATCGTCCGTTTGCAGCAGTTCATTGAGAAACATGAACATATTTTTACGATTCTCGATTCACTAACAGACTCAAATAGATTCACGAACGGCCTAACGAGCCTACCACAAATTGAATCGATTATACACTTAGTTTCGTCAGAAGTCGCGGATAGATCGAAACGCAGGCTCAATTTAATTATCCGTAATATACCGCACACCGTTAATCCGACGCCATCAACTCAAAATTTTATACATTCGTGTGGCTTAAATATCAGAGTAGCTAACACTAAAAGACTTCACTCCAGAAGCAAAAACAAACCCGTCTTAGTAACATTCTACTCACAGGCGGAAGCTGAGATTGTCCTGCAAAATCCCGAAGTAAACAGAAATCTGCGGAACCTAAACTCGTTTTTAGGTCCAGATTTGACACCTATGCAAAGACGTTAACTTCGGGAAAAAGACACCAGCTACAAATACGATAATCAGAACTCCGGTCCCTCAACTGAACCTTTAGCTACTAATTCTACTTCTAACACCAATAAAAAGAAATACACAGGCCAGCGTAAACCAAATGATAAACCCACAGCCCCCGCAGAAGGACCTCCAGCAAGTACGTCTGACTCTAGTTCTCATGATAAAAAATGCGCAACTGCAAAAGTATTTAGGACTGCTGGTCAGAAACAAACGAGGAAGGCACAACAAAATAACAACGTTCAACCAGGACAGAACGATGATGCAGATCCCGGACCGGGTCATGTGACACCCTTAGATAGCAGTATAAGTTTTACTACATCCCCCAAGACCGATCAGTCAGTACTAGAAAACGACTGCCAAACAAGACACATAAACCAAAAGGCCTTACTAAGCACACCAACACAACCAAAACGCCCTAGGTATGTTGACATAACAATTAGAAGCCCACCAAACTCTAACCAAAAACAAACAAGCTTCTATAACGGCATCTCGACTCCCCAAAATCCACCTGCATGGCATAGGAATAAGCCAAACCACTCTAGCATTCCGAACTCCTTACCACCTAATTACAACCCTACAAATTACTTTGGCTTTTACACCGCCCCACCTGAAACTCCATTTAGGTACAATTACCACCTAATTAACGCACCTCCCCATATGTACCCACAGTCCATACACACTAGCCCATGCACTCACACTACGCCATGCGCATCACCATATCCTCCAAGAACCACACACCTACCTCCATTTAGTTCATCAGTCACTCAAAGTACCCCCAGAAATTCTTTTTTTCACAACAGCCCACCTCTTCCATATCCGACATCCTAAAGATAGCTCTTATAAATTCGAGATCGATTGTCAACAAAATATCCAAACTTAGAACTTTCGTTGAAATATATAACCCCGATGTAATTTGCATTACAGAAACATGGGCAAATGAGGTTATATCGAATGCTTCATTATAAGTGTATTCCAATGCACCTCTCGGGAAAAGTGACCATACCACGCTATTATGGGATTACTCGCTCTTCTCTAAACGCCAGAAGAGAACAGAGGGCCAGCCTAATGTATGGAAGGCAGATTTTAATATGATGAAGAACGAATTGCTGTCCGTGAATTGGAACCAAATATTCAGGGGAGATCCGGAGGACGACTGGAGATCTTTTAAAACGATTTCACTCGATCTGATTAGGCGCTGTTGTCCACCTAAAGTACAAAAAACAACTAGTCGATCTGCTTGGTTAATTAGGGACCTAAATAAGCAGCTACGGAAGAAAAGCAATAGATGGAAAATATTCAGGGAAACTGCGTCACCAGCGCATTTCGAAGAATTTCGTCGTCAACGAAACGCCGTCAAAAAATGTATCCGTCAGGCACGGAAGGAGTATAAAACCAAAATTATACGACAGGCTGAACAGAAGCCTAAGATTTTATTTCACTATCTGAACAGTAGACTGAAAAATAAGGACCCGGTCGCGGTGCTGAAGGATGATAATGGTGTAGAGATCATTGAGAACAACGAGAAAGCCGAACACTTAGGACAGTATTTTGCCTCCGTTTTTACTAGAGAAATTGCGTTTCGCTGTCGCAGTACCGGCAATGCTCTTGAGACTGTTGGTCCCGTGCTTGACTCCATACTCTTCCCGGCAGCTGCCGTGGAAAGGGAGCTGAAAAATCTCAAAGAAGCAAAGTCCTCGGGTCCGGACAATATACCGGCCAAATTCTTGAAGGAACTGGCGAATGAACTTTCCAAACCACTGGCGCACATCTTCCGCTCGTCATTCGAATTAGGGAGGTTGCCATCGGAATGGAAGACAGCAAATATCTTTCCGATATACAAGGGCGGGGCTCGCACTAATGCTAACAATTACCGGCCTGTTAGTCTAACCTGCATCTGCTGTAAAAGAATGGAGGCCATAGTTAAGAAAGCAACTATGGAGTTCCTGGAGCAGGGCCATTTAATCTCAGACCTGCAG